ACAGAGAGAGAGACAGAGAGAGAGACAGAGAGAGAGACAGAGAGAGAGACAGAGAGAGAGACAGAGAGAGAGACAGAGAGAGAGACAGAGAGAGAAGAAAAGGAAAAACAACAACAACACACAACCACCCTCTAAGAGGTGACAGAGTTTGGCTCTTGGCCCTGAAAGAAAGTACTTTGGAGCCAAGCGTCCTCAGCTCTCAGTCATCTTTGTCTTCAGTCTTACCAAAAGGAAATCAAATGCTTTCAAAAATAACTTTTGAACCTCAAATCTCCTTTTTAAAAATTATTATAATTTTTAATGGGAAATTGGGAATGCTCCCCAGGCCAGGCCATGTAAATAAATACATTCCTTGTCCCAACAGGCTCGGGGTATCTTAGCAACGAGGGAAATACCAGATAAATATTGGTCAGGCAGCAAGAGAAGAGGTAGGAAAGCTCCCCATGAGGCCGCCCGGCACACGTAGAGCCGCAGTCCCTTCCAGGTCCCTGCTGGATGAGGCTGCGGCAGCGGCGACCGGGTGACCCGGGAACAGTGACCTGCAGGGCCAGGGCTGGGGAGCAGCTCTGTTCCTGCAGCCAGGAAGGAACCAACTCCCTTTCCAAATACCGCTCTCGTGAAGGCAACTCATCCTCTTTGGAGAGAGAAACAGGAATATAAGGAGCCGGCCACCACACCCTCTGCAGGAGCCTGAATGTCCCCATGTTTTTCGGGCTGTGTCTGGGACAAGGAGATGTCTCGGTGGCTCGTGCTGGCACGGAGGGTTACACAAGCCCCGGTGGAAGGGGCACCAACTGTTTACCCAGAGCTCACTCACAGGTGAGGAGAAACTTCATAGAAGCTGACACCGCGGTACCGCTCCATGTGCTGCTTGCTGTAGATTTCCAAGTCCTTGTATGGATTGACAGACACCAGAACTGAGCCAATGTATGTCTGGAAAAGAGAGCAGAAGGGGAAGAGATTAGAGGAGCACCAGCCCACAAATGCTCTGAGGTTGACAAGGACTCTCCACAGCAGGTCCTTCTGCAAACAGCCTCTAAAGAGGCTGGAGAAGCCACCTCCTAGCACAGAGAGCATGGTATTAGAGGAGATATGCTGGATGTGTCATCCTGACTGGAAACACAGTTCCTACGGACTCTTTCAGTCCTTCCAACCAGCAAGGATACTGCATTACTTCTCATCTATTGCTTGGGATGAAGCTCTAGCCTGGGGTTGTTGAGCACTCACCACAGTAGATTCACGTACCACAACAACCTGGTGCAGGTTGGATTTTCTGTATTGGCAAAACCACTAACAGGGCTCAGCTGGAGCCCTGCAAATGAGGCCCTGCACGTGTGAACATGCCACTAGCCCAGGCTAGTGCTGCATCGAGCGCTCATGGGCCATAAAAGCTGCGACCACCATCTCCAAACCCCCCAACCGCAGAGCAAAGCCCCAGCAAACACCCAAGTGCAGGTCGCTGACGGACACCCTGCCCTCCGCCCCGCGGCTGCTCACGTAGATGAGGTTCTCCTTGAACCGCTTGCGCAGGTTTTCAATGAAAGCTGCTTCACTGGTGAAGTTCTCCAGCAGGACGAAGTCCTGCACTCCCACGCGGTCGCGGGCCGTCAGGGCGCTCTCCATGGTTATTCGAACCCCGTCACTCCCTGCTCCCTGCAACCCAAAGCAGAGCAAGGTTGAGACGTTTGTGATCCTCTGCAAGGGCTGTTAACCGGGGACAACCTGTAAGTAGGAGAGGATGTTGGAACAACTGCCCTGCTGCTGAAAACGCCACTCAATGTATTTTAACATTCTAACAAACAGTTCGTACTAATTGCTTTAATGGAAGGCAAGCCAGCGTTAGGGAAAGGTGTTGCTAGACTTTTAATCACTAATTAAAAACAAACGAGCAAATGAAAAATATCCCAAAATCCCAAGCCCCAAACATTTCACAGAGACTAAGTGTTCCTTTCCTAGGCATCCTCCAGTAGCGGCGAGACTGAGATGAACTCTCAGCTCTTCTTTTTCTCTCTTATTTCATAATGGGAAGTCATTTTTAGGTGAGGAATCTTTCATGACTAACAGTGATGATTCATCTTATGAGCAAACAGCTTCCCATTGCTGACCAATCTAAATGCTCTAGCGAAATACCCAATGGGAAAATCCTGGGAAAACCGAGAATGGACCATTATGGCATCCCAAACCACTGTTATGAATTTAATGCGTGGGATCCCAGACTAAGCAACTTCTGTTCCTTGACTCTCCCTGTAAAAGTCACATCTTCGGAAAACAGGTCCGCTGACTTCCCACTTCATTCAGCCCCACATATTAAAATAGGAACAGGAAATGTGCACCATGAGACTCCATCACTTCATAAGGAAAGTTTCTACTAACAGCATCGAGACCCACCAGACCCGTGATAGATGACACAGATAACAAGACAAATCAGATGAGACAGCAGAGAAAACAGAGACAAGAGACACAATTATTAAACAATTTGCCTCCTATCTGCCTGCAAGCTCTCCCCTTTCCTTACAGTATCTTAAAAATTGCTCTTACTTTGAAAATTCTTCAGAACAAGCACCTTTCTCCAAAGCACTAATACTTTTCTGAGCATCTGTTGTTATTTTCTGGGCTATTTTAATCTTCAGTGCAGGTGCCCCAAGTCATGCTGTACTGCAGCAGCACAGGCGTGCAGGAATCCCCTGCTCAAACTCAGCTTTCCAGCCCCCAAAGCCTGCGCAAAGACATAGATGACTTTTGCAGACTCAAATTGTCTTTTTTTGCTCCTTCTTAAGATATAAGAGCAGTCAGAGCATGGGGACTGATGGTGCGCAGGGGAAGAAATGTAAAATAAAAATAGCCTTGGTCAGAAGGAATTTTAAACTTAAGGTCTGTTTTACTAAGCATTTCACAGCTTTCTGGAGGAAAGAAATAGGGATAAATGATGTACAAATGACTCGGGCTGGAAATCAAAAGGTTTCTACCAGAGCAGTGCAGTTACAGAGCAGCCTTTGGACACGGCAAGGGGAACAGAAGCAAAACCAAAAGAAAATAACTAGTTCTCAAGTGGGCAAGTTTATGAATATGGTTTCAAAACACAGCTGCCTGAAAAAGTACCGAGGAGAAGCCTGAACCCTCGCACAGTTAATCCCAGTTTAGAGAATTCTGCAGCCTTTCACAGAAAACGTCACTCGGCAGTTTCAGCCGCTCTTTCATCAGCTTCTCCTCGGGACAAGCCAAGCCCAGCTGCACACACCAGCCTAGGGAAGAAGTTCTCCGTCCCACTTCAAACCCCATTTCCTCCGCAAAACACCCTCTACTTCTTTGTACATCTAAGGCTAAGCAGCTTTCGTTTTCCTCCAGGCTTTTTATTTCCCCCTGCTCTCACTCAGCGCCCATCTCTCAATAAACAAGAGCAAAATGACTGCCTGAAATGTTTAGCCCCTTCAAAATAAACAGACAAAACTTTCCAGTAATAACTACACGTGACCACGTTATCCAGCTGACGTGCTGCTGTCAGATTATCTGGAATACAGATCTCAACTGCAGTGTGGGACCTCTCCAAGCCCAAATTCAATGTAAATTTTAATATGCGACACTTTGAGCCAGTATTTACTCCAGTGCTACCACTTGCTCATTTGCTTTACTGCTTATGCCCAAGTTTCCCAGCTACTTAAAACATCTATGTTAACTACCGCACTGCCAAGAATGTCAACAGACACAATGAAGAAGGAGGCAAAATCACATTTTTTATGGGAATAGAACAGTAAAGCACAGGGAAGAAAGCGGGGAAAAAAGACATAACGTTTAGGAAAAAGCAGCCACAAACACGACAATATCTTCCTACTGAATGAGTGTGACTGGAAGCAAGTGAATACATTTAAATAACTCAAGTGCTACTTATTTGATGTCAGCAGGCAGACATAAAATCTGGTGGGTGTAAATTATGGCTAGAAACCCCCTCCTAGGAGGTTAAAAATGATTACAGTGAGGCCAAATAAGCATTAAAGCAGCCCAGCTATGGACAAGACCAGCTCCCCACAGCAGCTTTGCAGCAAGACCCCTTTCTGGCTGAGCGGCACCAGCAAAACAAGCAGCCCCTGAAAAGAGGTAGTTTTCTGCCATGTGAATCACCCTCCCAAGGAGGAAGGGACCACAGGTGAGTGAACCCTTCAGCAACAGGTGAGCTCCCGCAGCCCCCAGGGCCCCATTCCCACCCGTTTTTAACCCATTCTTTGCTTCTAATCTCTTCTCCAGGGCCCAGAGCACAACAGTGGCTCCCTGCCAGGAGAGGAAAAGCCGTAGCTGCGAGCGGGGGGACGGGACCGGCACCAGCAGCGCTGTGTCCGTGTGCCCCTTCCCTCGGCGTGGTGGCGTTTGGGAAGCGCCTTGGGAGCGGGCGCTGCTCAGAGCGGCCCGTGGGAACGGGGCAGCGGAGGCACCGGGAGCTCCGAGGCCCTCCGAGCCGTAACTTCAGCAGGCTCCGAGGGCGTCGCGCGGCTGCAGACAAGCACCTGGCTGGCAAGCTCCACCAAAACACCTTAGACTCTCCTCCGTTTAGCTCTCTGACATCCAACGCAGCTCTCCGAAGAGACTCGAGCCCTTTGGCCTTTGCACAACAACCCCCTGAGCACTTTAGCACCGTGGGCAGTGTGAACCCACTAGGGAAACATCCTTTTGGGAAGGAAGGAGAGGGAGGGGGGCTTGGGCCTCAAAAGCTGAGGAGTTCAAGGTTGCTGCAAGCCAAGGAAGAGCCTCCCACGCCGGCTCTGTCCGCAAGCTGGTCAGAGGCCGGGCAGTGCCTCAGTAACCCGGCGGGCGAGGAGGAGCGTTCCCCGGGTGTGACCCGGTGTCACCGTCACCGCAGACACAAGCGCTGTCCTCGGCGAGGACACTGGTAACACCCCACACCTTCAGCGGCCCTCACTACGCCTGGAGCATCCATAGGGATGCACCTCGGGTGGCCCTTGCTCCACCAGGAGCATCTGTAGGGATGCACGAGAATCACCCCAGCCCTCCCATCCCAGCTCATACGGAGCGGGGAAGCTTTCCAACCATCCCATTTGGGATGAAGTCTCACCACATCAATGAGATTTCTGCTTCTCCACCTAAAATGCAGCCTTCACTGCCGCGTTATTGCGGATTAGCTACCGGCTATTGAGAAGACCAGGAGACCTGCACGAAACTCAGGGCAGGAAGCTGATGCCGTAGGAGAAGTCAGGCATCTTTATCTTGGTATCGAGTGGAAGATGATTGATCTGAGCATTTCAGAAATAGTTACAAAGCCGGGAACGGAAAAACAGGCAAGAACCAAATGGGAATGGGAAGGGAAATTCAGATTAGATTCTGGAAGACAATAACAAGCCCAAATGAAGAACAAACTTCTTGTGGGGAGGTGGCAGCTAGGATGCATTTGTCTCCTGGGCTGTATGACATTTTTCAGGATGTCTGGTCATTTTAAATTAGCAGGAAAGAAAAAAAAAAAAAAAAAAGAAAAGGGAAAAGAAAAGGTCTACCGTGCTCTACAGCCTGGGAAAGGGCTTGGACATGGCAAGGGCTGGACAGTGCAGGAGATGAAACCAGCTCTTCTGCCCAGAGCCTCAATTCCCGAGGTGCAGAATGGAATAATTCTCAATTCCTTTGGCATTAAGAAAGCAATAAGGAAAACAAATAAGATGGATGAGGGCAAAGGGACCTTGGTCAAGCACTTGCTGCCTATCAGTGATGCCCTGCCAGGGAAGCGCAGTTACCCTAGGCCACACGTGTGGGACAGGACAAGCACCACGTTACCACCGCCAGCTGGGCTGGAAAGAGGCTTCTTATGAGAGACGGCTCCGCGTTGCATGTAAAAAGGCTCTTCCAAGAACCATGCCCTTTTCTGAAGCCAGCTGAGCTCACAGAAGTAGTTATATGTCACATGTATCATTTGTTGGGCTGCTTTAACAAAAAATGAAATAACAAAATGAACTGTTTGCTTTTGCTTTGAATTATGTCAGTCCCTTGAAGAGTCAGCACAATATTTCCCATAAAGTGTGTACAGTCTTGAAGCAGAGAACTAGACTTTTCAGCCTGAAGGAGATCCAAACCTGAGGACAAAGACTATCAGAGCTAAAGGAAATAACTTTAACTCACAAAAAAAGTTACCATATCAGCAGCTGCCACTCAGGGACCATTTATAGCAGAATCTTTTTTTTTTTTAATTCTTGCTTCTTTTAGAGCAATACATCGCCAGCAAAGGAATGTCGGGAGCCAGGGAGCGCCTGCCCGTGCTCAGAGCTTGGTCCTGCCTCTCTGATACTTCCCTCCTAAGACACATGTTGAATGCATTTAACTGCAGAACACACTATTCCAAAAAATAGAATGAGGAGAAATGCCACTCCCTTGACTAATTCCTTTAAGCTCTTTATTTTGAAGGCTTCCATATCTTAAGTACAGACAAACTGGAGTGCCTTAAAACACAGAATAATACCTAGGGGAAACAAGCTTATTTTGCCCTCACAGAGATTTGTTATGTCCCTAGCAGCAACCCGCCTCTAAATTGAAATTCTGCCTTTCTTTTCAAGCTACAAAATCATTTAATCTCCCTCCCCAAAATGCAAAGCAGACCGGGAAATCAGAGCAATGTAATCACACTGCACATGGAGTTTAAGTACCTATTAAATGCCTGTAGGGTCATGAGAAGTTAAAACTGCAGAAACAAAATTTTAATCTTTTGAAAAATAATAATGTGGGACGGGAATGATGCTGCAGTTAATTATTTCTCTTAGTATATTAACCAATGGGTTTTGACACTTACAGTTTTTAGAACAGTAGGAATCCTATCTAAGGAGGCCACAGGTACATTAGAAATGCAAATAACGACAGATGAGAAACCACGAGAAACCACAGGAAGGCCACAGTGATTTACACGGCAAGCAGATAACACTATTTGTTCAATGCCTAGAACTAATTTTATTTTCTTAACTTCAGTGTTTGCTTTTTAAGTTAGGAACATAGAACAGGTAGTTAGCAGCAAAAAGAAAAAAATCATTTTAAGATGTGACTTAAAGGACAGCAAAGCTGTTTACTGCTAAGAGGGGATGTTGATATTTCAATCAACAAGCTAAATATAAAATAGCAGCAAGAAAAATGAACTGGGCAAACCAGAAAGATCAACAAGGCTGGAGGAGCAAACGCACTCAACGTCTATATTTAGGGAGCTGGTGATTCGGTTCCTGGCCAGGTGGTGCAAGCTGGGCTGCTGGTTAGAAGATGCTGCTGATTCCAGGCCACGCTGCAGTGTCACCTGCGCCTGCACGTCACCCTGGCCAGCATCGCTGCTTATTGCACTCATATGTTGCATATATCACATGTAAAACATCCCAGAGGAACTCGGAGCCAGCCCTGCGGAGCACATGCGCTCCAGTGCCAGTGCCCAGCTGTAAAGAGGAATCAGCAGCTCCTCCCAAAACCCTGTCCTTCCCCCTTCACTTGGGCCCATTTGACCAATGCTCTGTCTCCCACAGAGGCCAACATTTGACTTTTCAGAAGAAAACAAGTGCCATAAGCTCCAGATTAAGCAGGCAGGGGATGCTCTGGCCCACGCTGACTCTTCTTCAACAGCTGAGAACTGCTGAACCTGGGGACGTGAGGTTTTCTGTCCTTCTCTTGCTATATTTGCTAACTTTGCTAGGTAAAGCCTCCTTCTTCCTGACCTCAGCAGCTCCCAGTGCCCATGAATGTTGTGCCCCAACTGCACATTGTACAGAAAGAATCTCGCATCTATCAGACAAATTTTAACCGAGTATCTCCCTTCTTACAAAACAGCACAAAACCAGGAGCTCACGGGCTCTGTAGGATATTCTGCACATAGCCTTTTGCCTCCTCCCTTATTCATCTCCTTCTTGGATAATAATCCTTGTCTTCTCAGGCTTTCACCACGTCCTCATTTTTCTAAGCTCCCAGTTGTTCTCCTGCCCTGCTGGACACAGATCCAGCCTTCCTGGCCGCGGCGAAAAGGCGGACAAAAGTCTGGCTAAAGTAAATAGACCTGGAGGGAGCAGAGTGGCAGTGAGTCCTTAAGCAGGTATTTCCTGCCGTTCCCCAGGGTGGTAGTCACAGAAAAAACAGTCCCAGTGCCCACACCAGGATGACACATTCACACGCTGGTGCCCAAGCAAAGGCTCCACCCTTTCTTCTTCCCCAGTGCAGTCCCAAACTCTTCCCACTTTCTCGGCTCCCACCTTGACTCCCACCTCGAAACATCCCCCTGAGTTTTCTCCCCCCTCTATTTCAACCATTTTCACGTAACTTTCCAGGTAGAAGGTCTCTGCAAAATGAGCACAAACATCTCCACTTCCTGCTGAAGCCGTGAAAACTTCGCTCCTTCCTCTTACCCCAGACCCACCTCCGAAAACTAGGAAAACACCAGGAGTCAAATAAGTCTTACCGCGGCTCTGAACTTCATTTCTGCCTCCTTCCAGCTCCCCCAGCACTTTCAGAGACTCAGCTCAGGCTGCAGTATAAAGCAGGAATCTGAGGACAACTTCTCTCTTCTGTCAGTTGCTTTTTTTCCCCTCTTTTTTTTTTTTTTTTTATGGCATTTTCAGCGCAGTCAGAACTCCCTCCCTCCTGCCCAGCTCCTACTGGAGCATCCCGGGGAGGGCGGTTTACAAGGCAGGGAGCGGAGCTCTCCTCCCCTTCCAGAGGGGAGAGCCGGCCCAGCACAGCTGTCCTTAGCCGGAGTCCCCGACGGCCGGGGGAAAACGGAAAGAAAAGCAATCAGAGGCGCTGGAAAAAACTTGGTGCGCAGCCTAACATGCAAAGCCACAGCAAAAAGGACAGGAAGCCATATGCTCCATTATGGCTTTTTTTTTTTCTCCTCTCTTTTTTTGCAGTAAAACAGTTCACTGCCAACAGCAGGATCCAGCGGGCTCCCCAAACCGCTGGAAACTCACCCCAGAATCCCTCTGTCCCCGCTGCGCTTGCCATCATCCTCTGTGCAAATCCGAAGGGCCGCAGAGGGTCCCCGGGCGGAGGAAGCAGCTGGTCGCGTCCGTCTTTGCAAGGAGCTCGCGCAACGGGAACGTTTGGGGATGTCCACTCTCCAAACGTGGGACATCAAAACATGGGACACCCCAAAACGTGGAGGTGCCCGTGGTCACTACCACAGCACAGGCCACGCTGCAATGCCGGGGGACGCGAGACTCTTCCCTATAGGGCACAGCCAAGAAACTGCTGTCTTGGCCTGCGGGCCCTGGGAAATTTAGCTCTTCCAGAGGGGAGCACGGGGTTTGGCCTCACTTAAAAAAATCCAGGCCTTAGCTACATTAAGAATGTGAAAAACCATCAGTCTCCAGGGACAGGGATATTTTGAGAAAAATCAAAACGCGTCTGTAGCTTTTGCTGGCATTAGGTGGAAAGTGAAATGGACGGGTGGCTGAACTGAGGGAAATTCCAGTGGGATATTAGGAAATCTATTCCCCCCTCCCACAATGAGGGCAATCAAATACTGGAACAGGGGCCCCGGGCGTTGTGAAATTTCATCCCTGCAGAACCTCCAACACAGACCAGACAAGGCCTGAGCCACCTGAGCTTCGTTGGCTCTGCTAGTTAGATTGGAGCCCTCCAGAGGTCCCTTCCAACCTGAATATTCCCCGAGTCTCTTGATGATGTTGCTCTCAGCGGTCTAAGCTTCATGCCAGACCATTTCAGTGGTCCAAGCTGCATTACCCTGGCCCAGGCCCTGCCAGTGTCAACCATCAAGGACACTGGGGCTTGGAAAGACCCTTGGAGGAGCTGAGCTCTGCCCCGAACCACATGACCCTCCATTTCCAAGCACTGGTGACTAAAAGGTTAGTCATCCGCTCGCAGTGACACGTAGCTGCTAACGAAGAGCGTGGGTTTCTCTCCACGAGCCTCACATGAATAAATAGTCTGCTCCGCATTTCTTCTTTGTATCATCCTCTTTTTGGAGCTCTTTTTTGGTCCTCTTTTTTGGAGCCTGCAGCTCCGCGTTGCGCTGAGTAAACTAGAACCTCATTCAGCCTCACCCTCTAATTTCCCACAAGAACTTTACCAAAATTAATGGGAATATAATCTCCAAAATTAATGGGAATATGATCTTTCCTTCCATGCGGCATCTTTGAAAAGAGACTGCTGCCGACTTTTGCTCAATCACTTGTGAAACTTGGCTACGACACCCGAGTCACCGTCACGCTGCATGTTAACCGTCATCGCTGGCACACGGCAGGTGAACGGAGGTGGCAACAGCCTCTCCTCCCCGGCAGCGTTTCAGAGGCTGCTCTTGCCTTTTTCCTGCTCTCTCCTTTTTATTTTTCTCCCCTCAAAGGCTTCTATCTGATCAGAGGGAGATGAAGAAAGCGGAACTAGACCAGCCCTTCTCTGGAAGGCTCTTTGGCCCTTAGATGTGTTAGTCTCAGGTACCACTGCAGGAGCCCAGGCAGCATCCTGGTCCTTTGGGACAAGCCCAACTCTACGCCTGCCTGCCCCAAGCCAACATTACAGCCACCTCCCTTGTTGGAATCCATTTAAAGGGGTCACACGTGGCATCATCTCCCAATTTTCCCAAGAGATGAGTCCTTTAACCATCGAACAAGCCATTCCATGAAAGCATTCCCAAGGCTTTCACCACTGCAGGCACCACCTGGAGCCAGCTCTGCTTGAAGTAGGTTTTTCCCCCTTCATCAACACTCAAAACTCTATTATAGTAAGGCTAATATCAAACTATAAAACACCTATTGTAGTAAGGCTAACATCAAGCTGTAAAACAGACATTTTTAAAGCAAAAAGGCATCCAAGTAAAGCAAGTAAAGACTGTGCATGACTACCACTCTGATGGGTGGCTATTTTAAACCCAAGAAACGCAGCAGACCACATCAGCATAGCGCTCTCCTCTAATTAGTTGTGACCCCAGGCCCCAGCATTGATCTCAGACGCTGCGGAGGATGTCGTTTGTCACGGGAAGAAGGTGGCACCGCTCACAAGGATCCGTGTTGAAGCCCGTGCAACTCTTCTGAAGAGCCACGGTGCCACTCGCTCCTCTGCACTAATTAGATCTTCCAAGTTGGAGGAATTATTCCAAGTCTCTCACGGTTCCTGCACGACTTCAATGGGCAACGGGGCCTCCTTCGCTTCTGATCATCGCGTGGCTGAGGAGCAATGTGAATTATTAATGGCAGCAGCCTGAGGACACGTTTCAGAGGTGGGTTTAACGAGGGCCTGCTCTACAGCACTGAAATGAGTGAATGATACTCCAAGACTCGGCTCACCGGGAAGATTACGGGTAATCTAAGGTGCATTTCCAAAAGGGAGCCTTGCCAACCGTCGCTGAATCTCAGCAGCAAGGCCCGAGCCAGGAGGAAAGCTCCAGCTCTGCACTATCACTCCTCAGATCACTCTGGTTGCAGCCAAACGCCGCAGAGGTCAACAAAGTAATTCAGGTTACATTTTTAAATTATGCATCAGCGGAGAGTTTCTCTCCGCACTGACAGCTTCACCTTGCCCACAGCCGCTGCTTCCCGACAGCCTCGGAGCACGTGTCACTGCCGAAAACCTGCACTAGGGGACATACAAGAAGCCAGTTTTCAGGAGTCTGTTCTCACAAGTTTCCTGCAGCTCTCTCAGGCACAGAAACCCTTCATTTCTTTCTTTAATCAGACCCTTTGCTCAAAAACATTTTATTTCTTGCAACAAAACTGCCGCCCCACTCCTGCTGGCCAGGAAAACAATCTCCTGCCTGTGGGTCAGCCTAAATTAAGAGAACAGCTGGCAGAAGGCAGGGGTGGATGACAGCATTTTGATTTCAAATTCTCAGTCCTGCACGTTTAAGGTGATAAACACATGTCCTTCCTCTGCAGCAACACGGAGTCCCGCGCTACGCGGGGCAGGCTCGGGCTGTGTCCCTACTCCCGGCACTCCACACAGGGCGATGAATCAAGTTTTCCAGGCTTCGCCAGAAGTGACTCATAAAAGCCTTGGATTAGAGCACTGGGACGGCTCTGCTCGGTGCTGATAAGCAGCCGATTCCCTGCAGACGGTTTTGCATTCAAAGCTAAAGCGCTGGGAACCTTTCCGGTGAGCCCTGTTTGGCCAGGCTCGCCGCACCCGCGGGCTCCCGGCCCCGCGAAACCGGCCGTCGGCTTCCCCAGCACATAAATCTCATATAAATCTGGAGCCGACAGATCCTGCTTTGGGTATGGCACATGCCAAAGTCACCAGGCTCGTGGCTACATTATTCCGAAAGCAGAAGATGTGAAGCTCTTCGATCGATGCTTGTATGGGGTTTTGTTTTCTCCCCTGGATTTTAAAAATATTCATTATGCCTGCCTTGCAAAAGAACTGCAAAATAACATGCTTTCCATAATTAGAAAGTACTTGGCAAAGATACCATGGGAAACAAACCACCCTAAACAGGCGAGGAATTTGAGAGACTCCCTCTTACAGGTCAGAAGAAAGTTTTAACCAAAAAATACTGATTTCTTCAGCCCACCAAACGCTTATGGTATGGCTATCTTACACTGAGCGGAACAGCAACGCAGCAAACAGGGTTAACTAAATAAATCAATGCCTTGACAAAGAAACAACATTAAATAATGGAATAGGCTCAAAAAAACAAGCCAAATCTCTTCCTGGTGCCATCATCATTGTTGTCAATTGTCTGGTTTTAACCCTTTCTTGTTTTCACTGATGCATCCCCTGGTCCCCCACGCAGCTGTCCCCAAGCAAGGAGCTAAGCCAGGGCAGCCTGGGCTTAGGGCGTCAGTGCCAGGGGCCACAGCATTCCTGGTCACTTATGAAACTGCAGACCTGGAAGGGCAAAATCAAAAGCCCATTATATTCACAAAGAAAGGTTTCTCAAGGTTGTAAAATGCCTTAATTTTACTGCAAACAATGTGACATCACTAGTTCTCAGAATCCTCTGGTTCTTTGTGGAAGTGTTTGCATAAAAACTCAAAAACACGATGGGGTGTGGCCAAAAGCTTCAAAAAACACAGAAAACACACAAGAAACATTTATTATTTCAGATTCTAATTTATACTTTGTAATCCCTAAAACTTTCAATACTAATTGTATTTGTTTCAAGAAAGTCCTTTCCAGAGGGAACACTAAATGTCTCTTCTTCCCAAGCTCAGTCTTTCACAATAAGTACGGATATTACCCCAAAAACTAAAGGCTACAGAGAGTTTGGGGAGACGCACACATCTCCTTGGGCTCCTACACATCCTCCTCAGGGCCTCTTGCTGTTTTGATATTCCCAATAGATGCATTTGAACGCCTGTGGATTAAAACCCACACATGCAGCACTCGCACTTAGTCACGGCTCCCGCACAAACACAATCCTTCCGCGTCTGTGACGCGAGTGAAAACAGAAACTGGGTTAATCTAGAAAATTGAAATAATTTTTCCCTTGGTGCTGCTCTCTGCCGCATTCGTGGAGCAGAAACG